ACAAAGAGTAATAGTAGAGACTTTGGTTAAGAAAATTCTTTAACACTTTTCAGATGCAAATTCATCTTTAACTCCTTGGAAAGTTGTGAAGAACAGAGGATGCTAAATAGAGCCAGTAAAKTCTCTTTCTTCATTCTGGTCTGAGCTAAGGGTACAGGATTGCTGGTGGAAAGCTGTGGCATTACTTTGCAAATACCTCCAGTGAAGGCTCATATTTCCCTTAATCTGATATGAAATGGCCAGTGAACTTGCTCTTGGCCTAGTTCTTTCATGCTTCCCTTACCCAGTTAATTTTTCTTGCTCACAAAAGTCTTCAAAGAGTCAAGGGTTCTACACTTTTTTTACGTAGAAGATAGACTTTACTGCAGGGTCAGAACAGGAAGATTTAGGTGTAATTGACAATGCTGAATAGGAAAATAGTCCTTTAATTGTCATGATCAGTAGAACAGGGTCTAGCTGGAGGTCTGTCACTAGTGGTGTCTGCCAAGGTTCTATATTGGGTCCAGTATTGTTTAATTTGTTCATTAATGACTTGGGTGAAGGGACAGATGGCTCCTCAGCAATCTCACTGATGACACAGAGCTGGGAGTAGTGGCTGATAACCCAGAGGGCTTCAAAATGGTCTTCAAAAGGACCTTGACAGAGGTGGAGAGAAGAACTGTCTGAAATTCAATGTAGGCAAATGCAGATTCCTGAACCTGGGGAAGAATAACCCCCTGCACCAATACAGGCTGGGGGCCAAACTGCTGGAAAGCAGCTCTGCAGAGAAGCACCTGTGGGTCCTGGTGGACAACAAGCTGTCCAAGAGCCAGCAGTGAGTCCTTGTGGCCAAGAAGGCCAATGGTGTCCTCAGGTGCATTAGGAAGGGCATTGCCAGCAGGTCAAGAGAGGTGATCCTGTCCCTTTACTCAGGTCTGGTAAGGTCACATCTGGAGTGCTGCATCCAGTTCTGGGTTCCTCAGAAGAGGAGAGACATGGAGTTCCTTGAATGGGTCCATCAGAGGGCTGTAAAGTTGAGGACTGGAGCACCTGTCTTATGAGGGCAGCCTGAGGGAGCTGAGCCTGTTCAGCCTCAAGAAGAGACAGCTGAGAGGAGGCATCATCAATGTGTCTAAGGGAAGGGAGGGTGTTAAGAGGCTCTTGATGGTGCCAAGCAACAGGACATGAGGTGATGGAAAGAAATTGATATGCAGGAAGGCCCCCGCTAAATATGAAGAGCAAGTTCATTACTGTGCTGGTGATGAAGCACTGGAAAAATTAGCTAGAAAGGATATTGAGTCTCTCTCACTGCAGATACTCAAGAACCTTCTGGACACAACCCTTTTCCATGTGCTCTGGGATGACCCTGCTTTTAGCAGGGAGGTTGGACCATATGACCTGTGGTCCTTTCTGACTTCACTCATTCTGTGATTCTCTGTTATTCTCTGTTTCTGGAAGTTTGGAAGGCTTGCTATGCAGATTGAATGCTTTGACAACTGGAGGTTGTTGCCTTATACGCAGTTTGAGTGTGAAACTCATATACATTTTGCAGTAGAGAACACCAGCTCATCCTGCAATGACTTTGAATTCTAGACGTGTGGGGATGTGACAGTTATCACAAGAAATCATGTCTTTCTGCTGCAAGGTATAGAATAGGGATTTTGGGAGTTGAATGGGGGTTTGGTGTAGTGCAATTTTCTTTTGTTCCTTGCAGATTCTATTTTGCACAAATCTAAAACTTTACATGAGATTTAGAATCTAGGCCGCTCCCTTTCAAGCTGAAATGATTTAGAAAACACTTAGTTTTATTAAATTAAATGTTTCATTCTTTTGTCTCTCTGAAATATATTCCCTAAAATAAAAATACCTTCACTGGACTTAAGGATCTAAAATAAATTCTCTACTGGCAGAGAATAGTTAAATATTGACTGTAGCTTATGGAGATAAATTCCACTGCAGCAGAGCAGGAGTGTAATCTGTTTCCTTGTCTTACCTTCTGAGACCGTCACATTCTCTCAGTATTCAACTGGGATTATGTTTTTAGCCTGAAGTATTTTTCATTGTATCTAAACTTTAAACCACTAACTATGTTTCATATAACAGGAGCCTATATTTAGGTTTGAGGGTGTAATTGCAAAAATATGCTTTTCATGCTGAATTAAGTATGAGAGAACAATGCTTATTTGGACTAACATAAACTTTAGGTGGCATTTTTATGTCTAAGAAGTAATTTTATATATATCTGTATATGTGTGTGTGTGTATGTATATATGTATGTATGTRTGTGTATATATTACAGTTATTGTAAAATTTGTGTACCAGGCCAAATATTTTCTGAATGCAATTTTGGACTCTCCTTCAAGCTTTTTGTGTGTGTGTTCGTAGTTATTTCTAAAACATCTGCATATCTGTTGACCGGCATATTCTAGTTTACTAGAATAATATTGTTCAGCCTTTGATTTTTGTCTGGATAATGAGTTTTTCCTTTTTAGCCCTAGCTATTTCTCACTTAACCCTACTTTTTCCTCCAGGCATCTTGTATATTCTTGATTCCTGGTGCAAACGATTTCCAACGACAACACATTTTGTCCCTACACTAGCTTTCTCCACTTAGAATTCACATCAAAAGCAGAATTATGTATTTTTCTCTGTTTAATCTGTTGTGACCTATGAAGACTAATTAAACACTCCTTAAAACATCTAATTTTAACCAGAATACCATTAAATAATACCTTTTATTTTGCAACCAGGCTTTTACAACATGTGAGAAAAAATTAAAAAAAAATATTTTTGAAGCTTCTCTAGAGCAATGCAAGTCTTGTTGCCTGTCACTCTTCCTGAATTCAGTGTTTGAAGGATGGATATTTGTCATTACCAAAACTGCACTGCAAAGCATTGTGTAGTTTTTCTGCCTAAATTCTTACTGTTTGATTTTCAGATGTTTGCTGTTTATGAAAACATTTGTGTGAGTAGTTGTGTTAAGATGTCTTTTCTTTGTTAATAATTAAGGCCAGTACGTAGTTTCTCACTTACTTCAATATGCTTTTCACTATTCAATTAAAGTTGTTTTGAGTACTTTTTTTTATTGAGCAAGATTTTGTTTTTGAAGTGGCCCCACACATTTAACTGGTTTTAATTCTACAGTTCATTCCAATGAGATAATGTTATATGCCTAGTTAGAGCTCTTTGGAACATTTTTGGGTGGATACATTATGCTTTATTTGCTAGTCCTCTTGTATTTGAATATTCTGTTCTTTGCTGTAAACTTATGAGTGTAAGTATGACCAGAAATGTCACAAGTTCTCTTTGGGATCTCAAAGGTGGGTGTTGTCAGATTTTGAATAAAGCTGGGTAAACTGGTAGGTTTTTTCTTCTCTCGTGTGGATAGTGATGTCAACAAGACACAAATTTGACCTTAAGAAAAGTGTTGACTTTTTTCTTGCAAAATGTTTGTTTTGAGGCTACATTGATAAAGTCAGTGGGTTGGCTGTAGTATTCTGATATTCCCTGTGACACTGAGTGTACAAGTTGAGTTCCTCCACAGCTTTGCACAATGCGGATTTCATGTCTCCAGAAAAAGATCAGGCAAATGAGATAGTTTGTGGTACAATGGGGAAATCTGAGTGGTTAGTGGTTATTGTTTTGCTTGGTATGATTTATCCATTGGGGTAACAAAGTGCTTTAACTCCAGTCTAAAGTGATCATAATTCTCTTGCACTGTATATTAGGAGTAATTTATAAATTATGCACATAACAGCATCAGTTGAAGTGAGGGAACTGGGGTAGTTTACCTAAATGAAAAATGAGTTTTAACTGTCTGCTTTAATTAACAAAGCYGGTGTTTAGAATGTTATGTCTACTGAATAGACTGTCTGTATATGGAGAAGATTATTTTATGAGAATAACGGAAAGGAACCTAGGAGATTCAGGAATTTTTATCTTGCAGTATATGTTGATACAACATTATTCTAATACTGTCCTCACAGGTAAGAATGAAACAAAAACATTGCTTTAAAACTACAGCCAAATTAGGAATCTTATCTGTGACAAATATCTCTTAATTGCTCCAGTAACCAGGGGATTTCTCTTAGAGATATCTGAAAAGAATGCATGAGAATGACTTTGAATATGTTTCCTCTTTGAGGAGGGCAAGTGCTTAAATCTGGTTATTGAGGGCTCTGCCTTTATTAAAACTAATAGAAGCCATCAATCAGTTATGTTGCTCTTTCCCTGTTGACTTATACCCTCTGTGATAGTGGTCACTGGTTTCAGTGACCTCCTCAGCTGCTTGTACAAGACCTCCTCAATTGGAAGAACTTGTGGTTGTTGTTAGTAGAAGCATATGAGTATAACAGAGAAGAGTAAGACAGCATCCTTCTGGCTACAGCTGTTTAAGTTTATTCTACAGCTGAACAAAACTGTTTAGGTAGTTCTGTAAAAATTCTCAGTATTTGGAATTTCATTGTTGCTAACTCTTGGCAAACAGATTRTGCGTACTTGCTAAAGCCTTCCTATCTCTTCTAAACAATGTTTTGTTTTGAAGGTAGCTCTGTCTAGATGTGGAATAGAGTAACAGAAATGAGGAGGGAACAAATCATGTGTCTAAACCATGGTATCATGATATTAGTATTATTTGGGGTATACAAAGTATCCTTATGGCAGAGTGGAGATAATACAGGCAAGATGGACCCCGTTGGACAGAAACTGTGGGCTTGTAGAGAAGCTGCAGATTCTCTGAAATAACATCTGAGTCCAACCTCATCTGACACAGTGAATTAAAAAGGAATTTTAATCCAAAATGAATGAAACATAGCAGGGACACGAGTCTGTCTAGAATTAAGATCAAACACRCAGGATAAATCCGACTGTTTGTGCTTAAAAATGTGCAGGAATAAGTAGAATACAATAGCTCTTCATTGGTTGTACAATCTGGATAACCTATTAACAAAGCTGAGGAGAAGTACTGGTTTATGTTGTATTTGTCCTTGATTGAATTACTAATTGTTCTGTTTCTCTTTTAGGTTATGGTCAGACTGGTCCAGTGGTTCATAGAGGTGGATATGACTCCATTGCTGCTGCTGTTTCTGGTCTCATGCATATCACAGGGCATGAGGTATAGTGTACAACTTACATTGGATAGAATCTTTGTGCCATGTCCCAAAACTGGCTGCTGCATGGAACACATCAGCCTATGCTAACATATCTGTTATGCAAACCACCTGAGCCCAACAAGAAGTCTCATCTCTGGGAATCTAAGAAAATAATAATACTTACATACTTCAGGTATCTCACTCCAGGCTTGTAAAGAAACATGCTAAAGACACACAAAATTAAAGAAAGAAAGAAATATCCTAAATCTACAGTGACTAAATTGTCAATGTAACCTGTTAATGGCCACTTGTAATCACTTCAAGAGCTGTAATAGGCACAGTGTTGACACTTAGACGGTGTAATCATGCATGTGTATGAAGTCTCCCTGATGCTTGGATGTTGATATTCCCTTTTTAAAAGAGGAGATTGTGAAGCTATCTGGATAACTCTGACTAAAGCTGGATGTCTTTCAATCATTCTGTCTGAAAATAGGCAGAGAGATGCCATGCATTTCTGGAGAAGTTTTGTGTGCTGCTATTCCCACTGATACTTAAGATCCTTGGTAGTTGTGACAGTGCAGGAAGCATTACAGTAGTTTAGTATCTTGATTCTAGAGGTGCATAGAACATGTGTCTTCACCTCAGAAAAACGCTGGTCAAATAAGCTGTCTTGGATCACCTATAGATGCAGGGAATGTGGTCCCCAAATGTCCCTTCTCAGGTGAGGTAGTGTTACAAGTCTGTTCTATGCATTATGAATGCTATATACTGTTCTGTGATGGTGCTCCTGATACTCTGGAAGCAGTAGTGCAGCTCTTGTGAGGGTGTCTTGCAGCTCTAAATAAACAAGGAATTCATGAAGTCTCTGCACTTAGAGTCAGATATTCGTGTTTGAGCAGGTTGTTGAAAGCTAACCACGCTAGATCTGGACACAGCTCTGTTGCAGAGTTGATGGTTTGCCAGACTTGTTTTCCACTGAGAACAATGGCAAACATCAGAAGTTTGTACTTCTGGCAACCGTTGCTACCAGAGTCCAGAATTGTTACTGTTGCCCTTTTTATTGGGGAAAAAAACAAAATCAAGCATCTTTTGACTGAATAAGCTGAAGTGTCTAGTGCCTAGTGTCCTGAGACTGTCCATTTCTGGTGGGTTATTGGTACATACTTATAGGATGTACTGTCTTAGAACACATGAAGACATCAAATTGAGTGTAGTCTTTGTAGGCACCTCCTTTCAAATACATGGTGCACATACACACTAAGCAATTGACTGAGCACAGAAACTACAGTGTAAGTAAATTTTGCATTGTGTCTATAGAATGGAGGTTAATACTTCCAAAACAATGCCAGAAACTTCCTGCACACGTCAAGATATACCAAACAAAATCAAAAGAGAGTATAAACTATTAGAAGGGGGCAAATCTTGTTAGTACAACATGAATAAAGGAAAGTATATTGAACAATTGAAAAGCACAGGACTCTTGTACAGCTTTTCAATGATATGTGAATGCCAGAATAAATAACTGTTATACTGAATAATTGCATGTAAGTTATTTTATGAAAATAATAGTCCTCAGTGACTATTATAAAGGTGGATTTTATTAAAAGGTTGCATTAAGATCTACACTGGAAAACCAGATGTTCGCATCACCTCACCAAGACTTGAGGCAATGTAAGCACAGGAATCATTTAGTCATTGTCAGTAACAGCTTTGTCTGTTCACTGCAGGCTTTTTACAATTTGTTTAAACTTAGTCACTCTTTTGTGTGATTAAAATAAATGTATTAAAATTTGCTTATTTTTCTTTATTTGAAGTTGTTCATATAGTATTTCTTCAGTTTCTCAAAATCATTTTTTGATGCACAGAGGCACATTTTTGTTTTGAAGACTTAAGTAGTCAATTACTCCAAAGAAACAGATCTGCCTTTTGTTGTTATARTGAAAACTTACCCAAGTGGCTGTAAAATAATATTGAATGCTTGTTTGATAATGACTTTAAATAGCAAAGTATTATTAATAGTAAAATCTTCCATGTTTTTCTTACATTTATGTTCATGTGACTGAATTGTGTTTACACTTTCATGAAACTAAGCCTGAACAAAAGTACAAAACCATGTTTCAGTCAACATGTGGAAAAGTGGTCAAAGGAAAGAAGAAAAAAGAAGCTTACGCTGTCATGCTGTTTTTTAAAAAAAATTTAAAATAAAGCTTAAAGTATTTGTCAACCAGATAACATGGAATTAATGTACTAAAAGTAATATGTTCATTTAAAGGTGTGGACTAGGGTATGATAAAAAAATAGAAAAGGCCACTCTTATGAACTGGAAATAAAAAAAAAAAGGAAAAGTTATGATAGATGTTGTTGGTTTTGTATTTAATTGCAGTAGTATTTAATCAGCATAAGATCATCAGTGCAACAGTGCTCTTTGGGAATATCCCTTTGGTAAATGAAGYATTGAATGTTCTTGCAGGATGGTCTTAGAGGCAGCAGCTGATGCAGTGGATAAATTGTAATGGATTTGAGCAGCAGTGACAAAGCATCTACATACAAGACTGAGGTGCTCAATGTTGMGATATACATATTTATATCAAGGTACACGTATTTACAGTTCCTCAGAAAGCATTTTAATAATTGGGTACTAAAATTTTGTCCTGTATCTGACATACACAAAAATATATAGATCCAATATCAGTTTACATTCCTGCCTATAATTAAAAAGAAGAATGGCTTGCTCTTTTTTTCCCTTTTTTTCCTGATACCAGGAATCCTGGTTATCCTGATTATCCAGCATTATCCTGATCAATGCTAATAACTTTGAAATGCTTCTGAGTGATATTCTGAACCCTGAAAACAAGCTGTAACTTCTGCAATATTGAAAAATTATAAGCATAAACATCTGCATTTGTGCAAGTGTTATTTTTGCTGATTGTACAAGCCCAAACGTGATAGAATACTGTCTTTAAATCATGTTTTCATGTACAGAAACCTGCATGGAATTCAAGCTCTTACACATGTGCTTAATTACTTCTGTATTAGAAGTGTTTCGCACCTGTGAAATTTGAAATTCTAATGTGTTTATGATRGGAATCTATTTTGTGTAAATCACTAACACAAACCCATTTTGAATTAAAATAGTTGCTTCAGGTCACGTTCAGGTGTTATTTACACAAATTAAAATATCCTAAAGGCCAAAGTTTGCTCTGATGATGCTTTTATTGGATGACATAATTTATTGATATTTCCTGGGTAAATACCACTATCAAGTTTCACATTTGATGAACAGAAAGCTTTTACTTAATATATTYAGATATATCAGTGCCAGATGAATATCCCTTTGATGAACATTTCTGACTCATTAAGGCAATAACTTGAAATTAATTAAATAAATCCCAGTTTGGATACAAATCCCCTTCCATCTCCTAGTGGATTATTACATGTGGTCTTCAATATTTGAAGTACTTTTATGGTGGTGTATTTTTTCTTGCAGAAAAACCAYTTTTATTTTACTGAATATGAGACAGCATTGAATCTACACTCCAGAGAGGCTATTCTTCGGTGTAAAGCCAAACAAACAGTAATAAAAAAAGTACACATTCGATATATACCTCAGAGCTGTTGAAAAATACTGCCATTGCTGGTTCATATTAGCTTCAGCAATTATTTCACATCTGTAAAGACTACTGGACTTAGAATGCTTTTATTAAGCATATTTGCTTAAGGCACATTCTCCCTGGCTAGGGCTAGATTTTGTCTTCCTATCAGAATAGTAATATAATTTTTTTTCTGGCAGAGGTGGTGGAGTTTATCACTTTTGAAATAATTTGCTTGAATAGAAGATACTGTATAGATTTTTACTTTGCCCAGGGAACTGGTATAATGTTAGCTACTTTGGAGTACTGCTGTGCTGTCAGAAGCTCTGTCTAAAAGGGAGGTGTTTCTCTGTGTGTGTAGCTTTATTGTTCATGTGAAGCAGCTTCATACCCCTTGTTCTGCAGGACAGATAAAAGCCCGAATGAATCCATTTCACTATGCTTACCTCTGTGCATCCTGCCACAGAAAGACTGGTTTATGGCACAGGAGCYGATTAAAGCTGATTGAATGGTGACAAATTGCAGCTAGTCATGAGTCTTGGCAGAAAGACCCAGTAAGGCTTTGTGTGTACYGGTTCAGAATTATATGTTGTGGAGTGTTAGGATGAAATAAAGCCAACATGTTAAAAGTAACATAGCAGTATAGTGCTAGTAGTTTGTAGGAGTGTTCTGTAATGGGGAATTGTGAAGGTGTTTTTATAAATAAAGTTGAACTTTTTACTGAGGTAAAGGAAGTGTTTGCTTTTAAACATTAGGTAGTTTAGTACTTGATGAGGAAAGTTCTGGAATTCATATGTAACAACCTATTAAAATAATCCTGATTTCTCCATCTTCAAAGYGTAGTTTTCTCCTTGAAGGGTGAAATGAATGATGCTTTGAAAACAGTGGAAAAGTGTTTTCAAACTAAGAATGTTGTGGCACATATGTTTGCATAATCTAAAGTCTTTTTGATTTCTTCTCAACCCAGTGAATGTAATGAAGTGTCTATAATGAAAAAAGAAAAAATTAACAATAATATGTGCTAATTTTCATGGTTTGGCTTGGGGTTTTGTGTGTTGGGTTTTTTTTTTTTTTTTTTTTTTTTTGTTTTTTTTTTTTTTGTTTGTTTGTTTTGTTTTTTTCTTCTCAGTGGTAGCTCTGAGGAGCAAAAACCTTCYCGTGTGCTAATTAGTTTTCTCAGTAGGCCTATGCATATAAAATGAAGAACTTTCTTTCCTATTTTTCCCTAGAGTTGGATACAATGAGAGTGGTAAGCAGCTGGAACCTTTGAGTTGTGTTTTCTATTGGGAAGCTGAAGTATAGAGTGTGGAGAAGAAAGAAAAAGAGATTCTTCAAAAAAGTAGCACTTCTTAAAGCAGTGTTCACTTTAATGTTGTGTAGTTCATATATTATCCTATGCATATCTAAACTATAGGTAGTCACAGACTAATCCTTACTGAAGTTTGAATGAGAGTAACTAAGGTTTTTTTTAAACTTGGTTATATTTTATGCAGATTTTATAATTTGTTGTCAATTTCATATGAATAAAAATACCAAAAAATGTTTCCATCTTACGTAGAAAATACTGTCCTACTGTCTTTTATTTCAGAATTGCTCTATTAATGCAATCGATAATAAAGTAAAGATTTTAAAAGAAAAATAAAATAACATATATGACTTGATATCAGACTTAGGTAAATCCTGTTGGAATGCAAAAGAAAAATGATGGTGAAGATTAATTTTCTTGCATGAAGCCAAGACACGTTTTAAAATAATTTTCAGTAAACAAGTCTCACAATCTTAATTAGAAGCCTATTATTGCAATAATTATACTTAGGCATAGCTAATTAAAAGAATTTTGTAAATTCAATTATATTGAATTTATGCTACATTAGTTTAAATACATGTATGGAAACTTGAAAACCAGTTATTATTTATCAATTATACAAATTTTAAGTTGTCTTATGGTAGGCAGAACTTGGGTGCCAGAACTATGGACCACTCTATTTAGCTTTGCACTGCTATTTTTCTTCAAAACTTGAAAACTTTAAAGAACCAAACAAAAAACAAGGCTTCAAAATAAGGAACTGCTGTGACAATCAGATCACCTGACCTCAAACTTTTTAGAGTAGGAAATGGGAGAACATTTTAGAAGAAGCACTTTAAAGATCCTATGATACAAACCTAGCTGGGCTGAAATTAGAAGTTCATTTTGCCGTTGATTGCAGAGGGTATGTGTATCATGCCGATGATTCAGAAGTTCTGAAATGATGTAAAATGAAGATTCTTCCCTTGATGCCGGAAAAGGGATGATACACAAAAAAGGAAACACAAAAGAAACATGATGAAACACAAAAGAAAAAACAACTTTACAGTGTCTTCAGTCAGAAGGCCATGAATTGGCATTTATTTGCATGTGTAAAAAAAAAGTTGGTTCTTTTTTCGAGCTAGAAGCCTGGAGTGTGTATACTGGAAAATGCAAAACTAAGCTTTGACTGGGGGAGGGACTGAAGAGGAGGGAGAAAAAGGGGGTGAGAAGACTGAAGCCATATGGTTCTACCTTTTAAAAAGACAGGCACCCTTGTCTACATAACRTGGCAATTGTTTAGGCCTTTGCCTTCTAGGCATAGTAAAATTCAGTCTTCACTAGCTTCTCTTGTCTTTAACATTATCTCTTTTCTTTTTGCATTGCTGAGTTGAAGCCCTATGTTATTAGGAACAAAAAGTTGCATAATAAATCCTTCATGATCTGCAGCCTGAGGCATCACAAAGTGGCAGTTTTGTGTAGATGCCGCAAGGATGTCTGGTTTTCAGGGCTAGTTTTTATATTTTGTTTCACTCAAAGATATTTATTTCTTGCAGTAGCTGCAGGTGACTGCAACCATTCAGCCAATTCCTTATCTACCAAGTGGCTGGTTCAGAGGCAAACATGTCATGTGGGACAGAGCCAAATGCTTTGCACAAGTCCAAGTAGATGACATCAGACACTCTTCCCAGATCTGCTACTGCTGTAACCCTATCGTAGAAGGCCACTAAATTTGTCAGGCACAATTTGTCCTTAGTGAAGCCATGTTGGCTGTCACAAATCACTTGCTTTTTTTCCATGTGCCTTAGCATAGCTTCCAGGARGATCTGCTACACAATCCAGCTGGATAGGAAAAGGAGACTGGTGAGCCTACAGTTCCCTGGTTCTTCTTTTTTAACCTTTTTAAAAATGGATGTTATGTTTCCCCTTTTCCAATCAGTGGGAACTTAYTGAACTACCATGACTTCTCAAATATGATAGATAGTGGCTTAGCCATTTCCACTGGTCCCCTCAAGGGAGCAGTCCCTCAAGCCAGGTCCTTCAAGTCCTTCAGATGTATGTCATCAGGTCAAATGGATTTGTGCACCTTCTAGTTACTTAGACAGTCTTAAGCCTGATTTTTTCCTAGTGTGTGGTTCTGTTTTTCTAAARTGTTGTGTCTCTCCAACAGATTTTGGGGTGGTTGAAGCCCGCCATGAGGAGCAGGATTTGTGAATGCAAGGCCACTGGGATCTGTCTGTAGAGGGCCTCACCCACTCTGTTTACCTGAATAGCCAGGAGTAGGATTATAGTGTTACCTGTAATTGCCCTCCCTGTGCTCTCAGTCAGCCCTTCATCTGTCCCTAGTGAAACTCCATGTGCTTCAGATGGTTGACATAGAGGGAAACACTGCCTTTTTGTTCCTCTGCTTGTCCTTCCTAAAGAGCCTGTATCCCTTCATTCCAATACTCCAGTCATAGAAGTTATCCCACCATGTCTCTGTCATGCCAATAAGAACAGCCCCGCACAATCGTATTGTCTCTGCTTGTTTTCTGACTTTTAATTTTTTCCTTCTTTATTGTTTTGTTTGTCTTGTTTTGTTTTGGGGTGTTTCCTTGTTCTTTAGGATGGTGAGCCAGTCAGACCAGGAGTAGCAATGACAGACCTTGCTACTGGGTTGTATACATATGGAGCAATTATGGCTGGTTTACTTCAGAGGTATAAGACGGGAGAAGGACTACATATTGATTGCAATCTCTTGTCGACTCAGGTAGGATTTAAAAAAAAAATTGCTTTTCTTTGTGTAGATGTTTGAACCTAAGAATACCATTTGGCTATAAATTAATGTGCATTAGTTGGTACAACTAATGATAACAATAATAATGAGAGTAATGACATTATTGATCGTTCTCTTAACCTGCCACTGTAGTAGTGACCATTTTATATGACATAGTTATAGATAGTTACCTCTGCACTAAGTTTGATTTTCACTTTTTAGAGAAGGGCTGCCATGTTCTTTGGAAACACAGGTTGATCAAGGTTTATAATATACCTGAGATTGTAACAGCGGTAGTAAGTAATTTAAGAAAGACAAACCTAAGTGGTGAAACCAGTGTTGAAAGGAAGGCTTTGGCACTGGTTAACATTACTTCCAGAGCAACTGAATAACTTGTGCAAAATCACTTAGAGTAATAAAGTACCCAGGCTTCAAAGTAATGTAATCCAGGAGGTCTGCTTTTTGCCTCTGGAAATTAAAGAATGAAGTAAGCTTGAAAATGCAGCATTTTTCCTGGGCCCTTTAAAGGCAAAGTTGTTTTGATCATGAAAGAAATACCATATACTACAAATAATGAGATCTTTAACTCTTCTTTAAATATTTAAACACCATTGGTGCAGTGATTTATGATTTCTAAAATGCAAGTGATACTGATTTTAGCTGCATGTGATCAGATGAGAACATTGTATTGGTGATGTAGGTATTTGCTGGTACCAACTGGGCTTATGGTACAGAGGAAGTTTTGTTAACATTTTAAAATGCACATCAAAATTTTATGTTCTAATTAAAGCTGTTACAATGATCCATTGTTTTAATCTTTATTCAAGTGTGTTTTTCTTCACATTGTACCTGTYGGTAAAGTTGAGAGATGCCAGTGCCCATTGTGCTAAAAGTTGGCCCATGTGTGAGTAAGAGGTGGGACAAGATGACCTCCAAATATTCCTTCCCACCTTTATCATTGTATGATAACACTGTTTGAGACCAATGATTGAGGTTGCTCTTGTTTTAGTACCTACTGCTTTTGTCTGAATAACCACTGAAATCAGAAAGGAGGGGAAACCCTTGCTTAAATTAGTGAAGAACTTTTCATTTGTTTCAGAACAAATGTTTATAAGAACTGAACTTAATGATGTGTCTCTATTGGAAAAATGTTTAGAAAAAAAAGCAGCTTAGAAAAATACTTAAAATGTGTATTAAATGCTTATTAAGTATTTTATGTGTACAGATATGTGGGGGGTTATGGTTAAGGTTTTGTAGTGGTATGTATTATGGCAGCAACTCCTTGATATTTTTAATTTCTAATTTTATTAAAAGTAYGTCTGATAATTTTTATTAATCTCTGGAGTTATTTTTTTAAATTCTTTGTTCCACTGTTTTTTGACTTTTTTTTAATGTAGACTTCTTGATTATTATTAGATATTTTATCAAATGCTGGAAGCAAGAAGAGTTGAAGTTAGGTGTTGCTGTAGCTCTCTTATTTCAGATTATTTTGTTACCTCCTGTGTCTTTATAGCATTTTTCCTTGATTAGGTAGGTTTTTCTATGTTCTGTGTTCTAAGTGTTCTTATATTGCAGAATTTCTGTCTGAACTTTCACATCATTGTACTTTAGGTCACTCACTGGTATACACAAGAAAGATTGAAGACCTGCATAGATGTTAGCAAACAAAGCATGTGACATGGTGTTTGTCCTCTTCACGATTAGTTGAAGCAGAACTAGATGGTCAAGGAAAAGCTTAGCAGTTTATAGGATATTTTTTTTTAAACATTAACCCCTACAATGCTTGTTATTGAATTATAGTTATCTAAAAGTTATTAAGAAGTAATTCTGTAAATGCACGCTCTCATTATAAAATAAATGTTTTTATTTACTTCAGTTTTGGGTAAATTAAACTCAAGTTGATATATTGGAACAGATTATGGGTAAAACATGTTATTCAGAAAATGGCTCTGTTGCTTCAGTCCAAATTAATTTTAGGGTGTTGGCCCAAGAGTGTAAAGAGAACATCTATCAAATTGGAAGAAGTATGTATGGATGAGGTTCTAAAGTAAAAAAAAAAAAAAAAAAAAAAAAAAAAAAAAAAAAAACCCAACCCCGTGATCAGTCCCATTAAAAAGATGTGTTAAAATAAATGAAGAAAAACATAAGTGGCAGCTGAGTCTGTCTCAGGACATCTAGTTTCTTGGTTTGTTTTCTTTTCTTTTGTACTATTGGTGGTGATTTGTAAGTCTTTAAGGGATGAGTGTCTCTACTAAGAATSAGTAGTACAAATCTGAAAATTAATGTAAATAAATAAATAAATAAACTCTTGCTGTACTTCTAATGATAATTAGTTTTTTAAAAGGAAGTTAATCAATTACTGTSATACAATCAGGTTCTGTAAAGATAGATGTTTTCAAACAGATTTTGGTTTTACATCCCAGCTARGTATCTAAAGCTAGCTTTTCCTCATGTGATAAATGTTTAAAAAGAAAGACCTTTTGAAGTTTCTCATGGATGCTGCCAAAAAAAATGAGGGCCCTAAAGTTTTAGACTTTCAGTTTATTAGGTTCTTGCTGCTGTTGATTAATGGTAGGAACTAGAGGTCAAACAGATATGATAACAAACGTCATGATAACTTTCCTTCAGCATGGGTTTCACTGAAGTGTAGTAATTTTTAATGAGAATAAAAGGAATTTTCTTTTCTGTGTATAAAAAAAAAGCATTAGTGAACCATGCCATTTATAGTATTGCGACAGCAGGATCTTGTATGATACTTCTTGCCAGCATTTCAGTCACTCAGCTAATACAGCAGTGTGCTTGGGCCTTTTGTCCATCCCTTCATCTGAAAATTGTGAACTCGGCCAATACATRTGTCTTCATTGGTCAGTGTTGATGACTTTGACTGTGTCAGACTGGAATAAAACCCCCAGGGGTTAACACACTAATTTAATTAGAAAATCTTGAAAACTGCTTGGTTTATTTTATAGCAGAAAACCTAGCATGTGGATATCCATCTGTGTCTGCACTATAATTTTTCTGCTTGCATTGCAGAAATGGAAAAGGATTTTTTTTCTAGAGGGGAGGGCTCAAGAATGCATTTGAGACTAATTTCCTGTACAGATATGCAAATAAGAAAGAACATTCAACTGCCAACAAAAATGATCTGAAACTTTTTAAAAAAAATTCCCACAGACTGGCAAATTAGTTTCATATTTAAGTGATCTGTGTAGATCACTATAATAGAACCAAATTATAAGTGAGATCCTGTTCTCTGAAGAATACTATTTCTAGAATATCTTAAAATAGAAATATTTCTTTCAAATTCTGTGTTTTAAGCACTTATTGCTACCGAGAGAATTTGTTTCCACACAACAAAATAAAGTTCTAGGATTTTTTTGAACAAGAGACATGGTAACTCTTAGGATGTGGTTTTGCAGTGAGCGGTAACTTTCTGTATCTCTCATCTATAAACTTTTAACCCATGTTGTATGATTCCTTTGAAATTTTTGACTTTGAGATGATTAACAGTTGTCAGCTCCAGATCTTTCAGCATCTAAATAGTGTCCTTTACATGATACTGGTAAATAAGAAGGAAGTGGAGTTTGGATTTGGTTCCAATTATGCAATTGTGCCTTTTCTTCTGTTGTGGCTAAAAAAAAAAACTCTTGGAAGTTTTAATATCCTTCCTGTATTTAATTATGACCAGGCTCCAACAAATACTGTAATAATTTGGTTTCTCTTGGATTAAAAATCTGCAAGAAATATTTAACATTTCTGCATTTTTGAAGTATATGTTTTCCCTTATTCCACAGACAGGATAGTATGGTTAATATTGTTTGTATAACATGGTGGTTCATCAGACACTTCTCTGCTTCTAATTACTGTGTTTTAGTTTGTATTTGCCATAGCAAACACTGAATTTTCTTATAATTTTGATGTGACTAGAAAAACCTAGAAAATTGGTATAAATTATTTTCTTTATTTCATCTTTGTGCTTAATTTGACAGTTTACTGAGGTTATGATGAGGGTTAGAAGCTATTAGTTTTTGTTTCTGCATCATRTTTTCCCAAGATCATTCTGTTTAAGGCTAACCTATTTAAGGTGCTTTTAATGCTATCTATTCAGGGCTTTCATGGCATGTCTTTTAGCAATTATTGAATATAGGTAAAACTCATAACAATTGCATACTGCTGTAGGGCATACATGGCATCACAGAATCCCTGAGCAGTTAGTTGTGTGGAAATACCCATCTTGGAACTTAAATACTGCTCAAGTATCTTCACTGTCTTGTTGTTTCTCCACTTGCTGAGAGTCATGAGTTGACTGAATAAAGAAAGAAAAGAATCTTTTTTAGAGGTTATTGCTTCTGGTGGTTTTGGAGGCTAACTATGAGGACTATTACAGAGTTGTCTTGTTTTTGGGTATGCTTTGAGTAAGTGGGTTTTTTACAAGCTTATAAACCATCATCTTTGCAAAACGTTTTATTCTTAATCTCCATCATAATAAAAAATTGAGCATGTGCTGTATGGACATGTCATCTGTTTCACTGTATAGCTCTCATATGGAAAAGTAACAAATCTGAATTAATGTGAACATTTCTTAAAACATATACTGAACTTTAAATACTCCTTGGCCACTATTCTTGATAATTTCCACTGAGGACATCTGTATAACTAAGAACAGAACTTATTCCTCTGGATTTTGAGCAGCCAGAATTTGATTGAATACTAACATGACAGTAACTCAATTTAATATTGGCCTCAGTGGAATGTGTTTTATGATTTCTAATGATTAGTTATGCAGTCATTGGTGGAACATCTCTACTGGATCTTGGTTGTATTTAGTGGCTTTCTTTACTCTGTAAATAGAGTGCATATTCAAATTGCAAGGGAATTTCTTCTTTAACTACTATCTGACACTAAATTCTGTACCTTTTTGTCTTTGCTACCACTGTTCTTGTGCTAAAGACACTAAGCCTGAATGAGAGCAGCTTCATTTTCCTGTGTTGATC